ACCTTTACCTAGCTGCGGCAAGAAGTAAAGCAACCGGCTGGTTGACCGGTCGTCTACTAGATGTACATGATAATGACCTCAGATGAAACTCAAATCCAAATGTTTGCGGATTGGCCAATGTCACATGCAAAGCGCGTGACAACGGACAAGAGGCAAAAATCCAGAATATCATGTCGTTGTCGCGATGAGGAGACTGTTGACAGACAAAAACTGTACCGCAGAAAATACGTGACCAAGCCAAAAAGATAACGCGTACGCTTACCATATTTGCAGAGCATGGTTTAATGGCTCATAACCCATGATGGCTAAGCCAATGAAAACCCTTGAGTTGCATTATCCAATGATCCAGTTTTCAATAATGATTATGAATTTATACATATTACGTTTGCAAGGTGTAGAACTTATAGTTAGTGCGCGATGTTGGTGGCCAGACAGGCATGCTAACGAGGACTCTGAGGAACCTGTAGGCAGTCATGACCAAATCCAAGGGACAGTTGAATTACTGAAACCCTATAAATCCCTGAAGAACGACTCTTAGTTGTCCGCCACTCTGAGTGAAGAGCCAATTCAACAGTTAGTCCTTTTTATAATGTCAGTATATCCGAAGTATTCAAGTCAGATCATTAGCCATTATGATTGTAACTTGCAAAGCAGAGCGAAAAATTAAACAAATTTAAATCTGTTTATTGTATATCAGTTTAATGACCTTCTCTTTCGAAGTCCCTGCACAATTAATGTAATGTCGGGCATGTGTCTTTTTTTGTTTTGGAAAAAAATGGTCTCATTTGTGCAATTCTTCACGGTGCAGCTTCGGAAAGACTACAAATTCCCCGACCCATGGGAAAAGGTAAAAATGTTATTGTAATGATTGATTATGGTGGCAGTAAATAATCACACATTCTCGCCTTTTTTGCATTGGTCGTCCCCCTGACAGGGAGCCTGAAACAGGAAATTATAGGTAAAGGTAAAGGTAAACTTTATTTATCTCATGATTTTGAGCCTTTTTAGAAGTTACAGCATTAGGAAAAGCGCTTATGTAAATGCTTGGTTGTTCAGTACTGATAAGCAGTCGCCTAGATATTCAAAGTAAGTTCCAGATGTTTACACTATTTTCCGGCCGCCACATTGGTATACCAGGGATGTACACCAACATGGCGTTTTCATACTGGGCTCGATAAATTTCTGCGAAACATTTAGACGAATATCTGAAGTTTGGGGGATACGCACGGGCCTAAAACTTGGAGAAGTGTCTTATTTAGTTATGTTCTATAACATCACAATTTCTTAACTTTTTCCACTGGCTGGTTTTCGATCTATTTTTTTTTTATTGCGTGTCTGTGAACACGATCTATTGCTTCCGCGCGCGCAAATTCTGGAAAATCGCGAAAAAACTCGAGGTTTTGGCCTCCAGAAATGCTTGATCCCTACTGTTAACATGTGTGTCATGAGAAGATACGTATGTTGTTACTGCAGCCATTGGCCTTTTCCAGCAAAAGAAAGTTGTAAGAAAGATGCCCACAAAAAAACTGTTTGTTACAATTTGGTAATACATAGACAAGTAAAAACAAACGA